AATGCCTCGAGACTTTGATTTTGCAGCTGAACTCTATGTCCTGTGACAGGGAAACTGTTCAAGACAAGGCCCTCGCTGTAGCACACATAACTTTGGATTCAATAACTTTCCGTCAATTTCCGATTAAGTTTGCCAAAACAGTCTAGTGTCATCTATCGTTTGTCCTGCAGTAACTATGCTTACACCAGGTCAGACTTGACGGAGCCAAGAGATTCGAAGGAACGGGCCGGTAGAGCTGGCGCTTTGAGCCATATCCTGCCTTTAGTTTGGCTGTCAGATATTCGAACAGACCTCCAGCAGGACCGCCTACGGGAGTATCGAGCTTTTGGAATCGGTTATGGCATCGCTAACCGGCGCTTTGAACTAACGACTTCATACGATGCGTTACGTAGTCAAGATGAAGGACGCAACATTTGGTGAGACTGCCACGAGTAGCTGTCAATGTAGCTGACCGGACTGTTTGGCTAATCCACAATAATCTTGTAACTTTGGACTCGAGAACCGACTGGAGAGTTAAGGGGAATGAATTAATGCTCCCAAACTTTCACCCTTCACCTTCCACAGATATAAACCCTCACCCATGAGATATCAGTCCGAACCAGGTTTCTTAATTGACAAACTATTTCCATCTTATCTGACGATATAAAACTAACCTATTCAACTGATTGTTTTTGTTGCTTGTGCGCCAAACTTGACTTCTTGACACTGAGTTTTTCGAAGTACCCCTAAATCTTCTGCCGCTCATTTTGATGTCATTTGAATGTCGGCTGGGAACTCTGCTCGACTCGGGAAATGTACTTCATTGCTGAATATATAGTCTTCAATTGTGTGTGTGCCCTTCTCATTGATTACTGCATCACAAGCGTACCCTTAAATTTTAATGTGTCTTCTACTATCGCACAGTTTTTACTCCGACCCTTATCATTCGCCCGTAAATGCTTTCGCCACGCAATTGAATCGATCGCATCCAGCTTTCCACCTTCCCTCGATATAATTCATAATTCTAGGTGTTTGTCCTTGAGGACCGATAGGCCGAGCTGACACTTCTAGATGACTTGTCACCAATCCGATCTCACGTCAAAACCCCTCTGCGGTTACTGACCTCATCGCTGGCAAAAGTTTAAATTTACACGTGAGCTGCAGGCCCACATCATCTCGGTGTTATCTACTTCTCTTAAGCATGATGCCTTTCGCTGTGGTTTAACGTGACATTTTGAGCGCGTTTTGCTGAGGACTCGCTGTTAAGGTGTGACAATGCCTGGTTGGTGGGCTGTTTTGCAGCCAAGTGCGATTGGCGTGCGCTATTATTTGAGGCGTACCAAAGATAATGATCTGGGGGTGAAATTAATCTCTCCTTCTTGTGTTATTTCTCACTATACTTCTATGCCTGGCCACCCAACCTACTGATTCTGTTGAAAAACTTTCGAACGATGCAAAACACTACACTTAGCAGCTATTTTAGCTTTTGACTTAAGAATGTCACTTTTGACTTAAGAATGTCACTATACTTCTATGCCTGGCCACCCAACCTACTGATTCTGTTGAAAAACTTTCGAACGATGCAAAACACTACACTTAGCAGCTATTTTAGCTTTTGACTTAAGAATGTCGCGCTGTCAATTTAGAAGACATCTTATTTGGCTCACCTACACTGGCACAACGAAGAATGATAGTCCGCAACAAAGTCCTAGAGACGTCCGGTGAAATCTAATACCTTGACCCGTCTTTGTCTCTGATGATGGATTCGAATGAGGATCCGAAACGTCATGCTGATAATGCTCTTTTCTTTTAGCGGTAGTGTCTCCCTCGAGACTGTTTCTTAGCACTCGCTCCAGCAACATTAGTTTAAGTAGTGAACCTCATATACCCCTAATCCGGACATTTTGTTCTATGGAAACGGTGGTTATAAGAGTTTTATGCGTGGAGAATTAGGATAGACAGTTGAAGATGATTTAAGAACTGCCATATGCGTTTTTATTTTATTGTATTCAGAAAAATATTAGGAGGTTCGGCAGATTTGCTTAATTTGAGTTCACCCAATTGTGGAAAAACTCGAGGCGTTCGGCGGGATTTGAACCCGTATAGTAGAGAAAGCCTTTACCGGAAGCCGACGCTCTAACCACTTGAGCTACAAACGCCCCACCTAGCGGCATGAATTTAATCACACTATACAGGTTCAAATCCCGCCGATCACCTTTTTTCACGATTGGATCAGCTCAAGTATTCAGAAATGTTGTTGCCTTATATCTGTAGATTTTCCTAATCTATATTATCGTTTAACATATTGCAAAAAGACCCAATTATCAAACTGCGGGCTTCTTGAAATTCCTAAAAAATGTAAATGCTGGTTAGGAGTTCGTCTACTTCAACTTACCTGAAGTCCAACTTACCGTTCTGGGGTTAGATTTACATGCGGAACAACTTACTTCCAGCGGCCGTGGGAAACAAATTCAACTAAATGTTTCCACTTAACACTTACTTCTACAAGATTTCTTAACTGCCTATCCTATTTCCCCACCCCCAAAACCCCTTTAGCCACCGTTTCCGTAAGAACAGATGCTGGGACTAGGGATATATGAGGCGTA